GAAGTACTTTTATAGAACCTTTCGCTATTCACTGGGGAAGTTCTAGAGGTAATGCAAATGAAATGCGAAAACTGTAAACTGGAAAGAAAACCTTTTATAAAACCTTTCGCTATTCACTGGGGAAGTTCTAGAGGTAATGCAAATGAAACATGAAAACTGTGAACTGGAAAGAAAAACTTTTATAAAACCTTTCGCTATTCACTGGCGAAGTTCTAGAGGTAATGAAACATGAAACTGTAAACTGGAAAGAAGAACTTTTATAAAACCTTTTGCTATTCACTGGGGAAGTTCAAGAGGTAATGAAACATGGAAACTGGAAAAAAGTACTTTTATTCTTAGCATAAAAATTACCATTCACTGAATTTAAATTTACAAAAAAATCTTTACCAAAAATACTGTACTAAAAAAATTGGATTTTGTGTGTACAGCATACTTGTAATGTTTACTAAAAACTTGACAAATAACGTGAAGATACACATAGTACATTTAGAGTTATTTATTACGTGGTTACAATATTGATCAACCCAGTGGTGTAGGGTTATGTTATCCCGACCATGTTGAAGTATTCTGTAAGATAAACCTTGTTTTATTAAAATATTGTTAGTAAAGAAATAAGTAAGTGAAATTTAGTGATATTGTAAACGTTTAAAAGTGATAATGAAACTAATAGTGAAGTTTTTGTGGTATTATAAATGTGTTATATTGAAACTAATAGTAAAGTTTTGTGGTAAATAGTACCACAAAACTTCACTATGAATTACAATAACACGTTTATAATACCACAAAAACATCACTATTAGTTTCATTATAACACGTTTATAATACCACAAAACTTCACTATGAGTTTCAATATGACATGTTTATAAAACTTCACTATGAGTTTCAATATAACACATGAATGTTTATAATACTACAAAACTTCACTATGAGTTTCAATATGACACATGAATGTTTATAGTACCACAAAACTTCACTATGAATTTCAATATAACACGTTTATAATACCACAAAAACATCACTACGAGTTTCAATATAACACATGAATGTTTACTATACTACAAAACTTCACTACGAGTTTCAATATAACACATGAATGTTTATAATACTACAAACTTCACTATGAGTTTCAATATGACACAAGAATGTTTTTGTAGTATAGTAAACATTCATGTGTTATATTGAAACTCGTAGTGAAGTTTTGTAGTATTATAAACATTCGTGTGTTATATTAAAACTCATAGTGAAGTTTGTAGTATTATAAACATTCATGTGTTATATTGAAACTCATAGTGAAGTTTTGTAAATATTCATGTGTTATATTGAAGCTTATAGTGAAGTTTTTGTGTTATTATAAACATTCAGGTGAAATAATAAAGTTTATTGTTTCTTTTGTTTTATGAAGTGTAAACATTTAATATGATTAAGCAGCAACTGGTGAAGTTACATCAAAGTTTCTCATTTTAATAAGGTGTACACATTTGGTTGTAACGATGAGGGAGCTCTTGGTCGAGTAACAGATGGGAAAGAAGAAGCCGAATTTAAGCCAGACAAAGTTGAATTAACTGAAAAAGTGGTCCAAGTGTCTGCTGGAGATTCTCATTCTGCAGCACTAACAGAAACCGGGAAAGTCTTCATGTGGGGAAACTTTAGGGTAAGCCCTAGTAATTGGGCAAATCCAACTTGATTTTCTCGTATTAGTTCTTTGCACAGACTATTGTTTGAATCTCACAACTAGAGGTTTTAATCCTGTGGAGCACAGTGGAGGTTTGTTTTAAATCTCATGACTAGAGGTTTTAATCCTGTGGAGCACAGTGGAGGTTTGTTTTGAATCTCATGACTGGAGGTTTTAATGTTGTAGAGCAGAATATTGGTTAGTTCATTCTGGAGTTGCTTAAAAATAGTGTTGATTATTAAAATAATGATAGCAGCTCATATTAATATTGTATACAAATATGCCTGTCTGGTTTTAGCCATTATTAATGGTTGTTTTTAAACGTTTTGAGGTTTCAGTATTTTATATAATCAAGCCTATAGTTTAGCTACCATTAAAATTGGATGCTATTCATTAATATTATATAGAAATAAGCTTGTCTGGTTTAAGCCAACTTTAACATTCAATAAAAGCAAGCCTGGTTATTATTACTTCACTAAATGTGAGTAGTGCTATAAGACATAATACTAATTGAAAGTAGCATGCTTCGTCACTGGTCTTAATTGCCGATAAATAATACTACACTAAGTTTCTGTTGTATTAGATGTAGTTCATTGGTTTTGACACTTGTGACACAGTAGTACACTAATTTCTGGTAGTGTTTCTAAGTCATTAAGTGTAGTTCTTATGATAAATTACTACATTAGAAGTGATGTAAGACTAATCTATATTAGAATAATCAGATGCTTAGTTTGTTGGTTTTAACTTCAGACACAGTACATCATGAATGTAGTAATATTAGTTAGGTGTTTGATCATTTGTTATTAATTGCTATGACACGGTTATAATTTTTATAGAAAATATTAAATACTTATTTGTTGGGAAATGTTATAGATCAAAGACTATTTTTAATATATGCTTGAAATTGTAAAAATATTACATTTAATTAAAGTAGTTTTGTCTTTTATTACCAGGATTCCAGTGGTTCAATAGGCCTCACCTCCTTTGGTCCCCAAAAGAAACCTGTCCCGATACTTCCAGAGGTCACTGTAGTGAAGATTGCTTCAGGCAGTGATCATTTGGCCTTGTTGGCCAATGATGGCAAGCTTTACACTTGTGGTTGTGGTGAACAAGGCCAACTTGGACGTATTCCCCAGTATTTCAGTGCACGAGGAGGCCGAAAGGGGCTAGGTAGTTCTTTTTCTTAAATCTATTAACTGTGTTGACTCAAATTAATTTCCAAGATTCTTGAATTACATTTTAATTTTACTTTCTTCTGTTGAAGTGTAGTGTTTGTTTTGAATATTTTTACTCCAAGATGATATTTTTGAAGACTAATATTTATTAAGTTTACTATTTTGTGAGTTCTTAACGTGTATCAAGGTTTACAATAAGGGATTTTTAGTGTAGCATACAGAGCCTGTTTGGTAGTGACCACTGTATTAATGGTTATATTAAAAGCAGTCACAGTAATACCCTGCAAGTAACCTCTAAGTACACAATTTTCAAGTCGGAGTTACTTCGAAAAATTAATTTTTAGAAGTCTGTTAAATCAGAGCAGTCATCATACTTACAAACAGATCAGTTTAAGGCCTGGTTTGTGCTGCTACTTTGACACTGTGTTTTTTCAACTGCACAGTGCACTTTTTGTATACCTGCTCTTGTTGAAAGGTTTTTACTTGCAAATAATTTCTTTCTGTAAAGTTTATGTATGGAGATGAAAAAGATGAACTGTTAATGTTTGTTACTTATTATTATTCCTTGATTTGTTTATTGTTTTTTAGGTTATATGTTGAACCCTGCCCAAGTTAAAGTTTCAAAGAGACAAGGCCGTGGTTATGTTGACTTTGATGATGTTTGGACTGGTTCCTATGTAACATTTTGTCGGGAGAAAGATAGTGGTGACATCTATGGCTTTGGACTGAATAACTTTTACCAACTTGGTGAGATTTGAAACTTTTCACCATTATTAACAACTAGATTTAGAAATAAGCTCCATTCATTCAGTAGGCTTAAATTTTTGAGGAAGTGGTTCTGTGACTTAATTTTGTAATTATATTGCTTCCTACAACAGATTTATTCATGGGTGTTTCATTCTGTTTTCAAAACATAAAATTTACAATTACTTGGACTTGTATTAATGAAATTATATTACAGGTTACGTGAAGTATTTAGGCCTAAAATTACAAACTTTTTTAAATATTAGGTTAAACCTATTTTTTGTTATTTTGCATTTCGTTGAAAAAAGCACAATGCAAAAATTTTAATACTATTAAAACAGAGTACACTCTTCATTTAAGACAACTGAAATTCCATTTTGAAAGTTTTTCCTTTTAATCATACTTTGCATATTTTTGTTTTTGCTGCAGGAAATCAGACTATAAACATGTAATCATTGCTCATTTATTTTACTCTTTGCTGTTATCACCTGGCACTAAGTCACTAATAACTAGGTTATTGCTGTTATCAACCAACACTAAGTCACTAATAACTAGGTTATTGCTGTTATCAACCAACAGTAAGTCACTAATAACTAGGTTATTGCTGTTATCACCTGGCACTAAGTAACTAATAACTAGGTTATTGCTGTTATCAACCAACACTAAGTCACTAATAACTAGGTTATTGCTGTTATCAACCAACATTAAGTTACTAATAACTAGGTTATTGCTGTTATCACCTGGCACTAAGTAACTAATAACTAGGTTATTGCTGTTATCACCCGGCATATCACCTGGCACTAAGTAACTAATATCTAGGTTATTGCTGCCTTCATGTGGTTGATAGAAAATGTGATTTCATTTTGGTTTCAGAGGGAAACTAAACCATGTGTTTCCTATGAAGGAAAATAATGGGTAGTTTAATTACTTTCATACACTTAGTGTAGAGTTAAGACAGAATTTTACAATCAAAATTAAAAAATTATATGTAACATGGAAAATTACCATATTTTTTGTGTAAAAATGAATATATCTGCCTTTCTGGTTGTCTCTGCACTTGCAGGTTTTGGTGACCCAGAGTCTCGTTTGTCCCCTGAATTTATTCAGTCCTTCTGGGGTAGAAGGTGGCAGTCTATCAGTAGTGGCCAACACCATACAATAGCTCTAGATGATACTGGATCTGTTTTTACCCTCGGAAGAAAGGAATATGGACGTTTGGGTCTTGGAGAGGACTGTCATGATCAAAGTTCTCCAACACTTGTTCCAGACCTGAAGGAAGTTGTGTGTTCTAATATAGCTGCTGGTAATCTTGTATCTTATGCTGTATCACAAAATGGTAAGTTCCATGGTGGAAAAATATAACATATTTTTATATAATTATACAAACAAGCTGCAAGTTTTAAAACTTTTGTTGTGCATTTAGAACTTTCTGATCTTCAACACACGTAAGGTGGTGGTAGGTTTGCATTTAGAGCTTTCTAAATGACAAGTAATGTGATAGGTTATTGTAGTGACAAGTGATGAGCCCTCAGTCACGAATAAAACATTAGACCTGTTTAGATGGTAAATTATAATTTTCCCACCGACAGCAGAGTACTTGTTGATTATTTAGCAGTTGTTTCTTTCAGTCATAGTTAGTAGTTACTATTGACTCCAGCAAGTTAGCAGTTGTTTGTGTTTATCGAGTAACTTGATAACTGCTGTTGTGTTTTAGGTGATGTATATTCTTGGGGAATGGGAACCAATGGTCAGCTTGGACATGGTGATGAGGATGATGTTTTTAGCCCCCAAAAAATTGGAGGAAAAGTAATATCCAGCAAAAAATGTTTTATAGTATCGAGTGGAGGGCAACACACAATAATGGTTGCTGATGAGCCAGCTTGTGTTCCTAATAATGATAAGAAATGACCTTATTTTAATTTTAGTGCCTTTTATATGTGAAATGCAAGTAGATTTTAAGACAATGGAGAACTTAAATGAAACTGTACTATACAGGTTTGAAAATTAAATAATTGTGTTCCTGTTTTTGTTTTGTTTTAAAAACAATTATATAATCCAGAAATTACACAAATGACACATACACAGTTTGTTCCTATAAGTTGGACACACTTAGCTATTTAAACCCATAATGTTTTGCAGGTTCTGCAGAAATTATTTTCCTGATGTCCTTCTAAAATTTCCAGTCTATTTATAAAAGATAATAATAAACATGGTTTGAATTAATTTTCAGTCAAAGAGACATAAATGTTATTGGATGTTCACAGCATCCAATGGGTAAATTGGGATTTTTGGCTGTTTGCACGGGTTGAAGGAGTTAATGCTGTACTGAAAGTAGGACAAACTTAATCTTGATTTGTACATTTGAAGAATTCTTTCTTTAGCAGATTTCAACACTGAATAAAAATTGATTCACCATTAATGATTCTTCTTAACTATACAGTGTAAAACAGTTTAGTCCATTGTATACTGGCCTTATCTAATAAGATAAGACATCAAATTAGAAAAACTCATTTTCTGGTGTAATTCTACAGTTGTGTTTAAAGTTAATATCTTTATTTGAAAACTTTGCATGTTGTAAATATTGTACAGGATATTAAGGTAGATCCTTCAGTGGACTACTTGCTATTAAGAATGAAAATAGTCCTTGGTTGTGAACAGTTGGAGTTTCTGCTAGCATCATACTACTTCTAATGGTGGGAGGTCAAACAAGGCTCCCCTATCATATTAAAATGAACAAGTTTTATAATAAGCTGGTCTTTACAACATTTTATATGTTGTGTAAGGACAGATTTTTTATTTTCAATTTCACGATCTTCTGAACTATCCATTATATTTAAATCAAATGTGATCTTGGTAGGTTCTGGATTGATCTTTTGAACTTCAAACATTTTGTACAATATTAAATAGACAAAGGAACCAGTTTTTTTCTTACCTCTGTGATAAGAACTTACCAAAGAAATATAGGAATGTGCATTTAATGTCAAAACATTTCATAAAATCTTTTGCTGTGGAGCAATTTGAGTTTGGTAATGGATGAAACTTTGTTTAAAAAAACAGTATGGTTCCTCTTACCCAGAGTTGGTTTCATTTTCTGCAAAGGAAACTTTTCTAGTGAAGGCTAGATGGTATGTATGATTTCTGGTGAATGTTGGCTTTGAAATCAAGTCTAAGGTTCCCATCAGTGGAGAAATACTTTATTTTTTTTCTCAAGGCATATAAAAAGATGTTACCAGCCTAGTTTATTATTCAGGCCACAATTACCTTGCTGGCACTTACTTAATAATCACATAAATCATTTAAAGAAAAAACTTGAAACAAAAAGACCTTGTTAAATGTAAACTTCTCAAAAAATAGAGCATCTTATAATCCACATGATCACAACTATAATGAATCTACTTGACACTACAACACTTAATACCAGAGAGTTTAAAAGACATTTTTTTTGAGGAACAAAAAACATCCTCAGATTGAGAGCTCTTCTGTTTGTTAAATGTGGTTAATAATTATTTTAGAATATGGAACTGACTATAATTAAAAGTATGTAACTTGTGTACACATTTAAGCACAAGAAATATTGTTAATAATTATGTCAGAGAAATATTAAATGTAACCAACAATATCTGTTGATGTTACAAACTTTCTTATTCAGATCAAACTATAAATTAATGCTATCAAGAAGTCTACTTTAGTTCGATTAGAAAATGATTGTTAATAAAAAACTGCAGGAGATCAAGCAGTCACTACCAAGACCATGTAAGAATCGTAAGTTCACTTCTATTGCCTGAACTAAAAGCTGTAAATTAATGCTGTTGAATGCAAATCACTTAGGTAAGACAATAAAATGTAAAACTATATATACAAAAAAAACTCTCAGAACCTATAAAGTCTTAATCTCAACATCTCATTAGATATTCCTTTAAAACCTTAAACAGTTACAGTTAAAATTTGTTGACATTGTTCATATCACTTGAGAATTGCAGCAACATTTAAGAACATTAACAAATAAAATCTTTAATCCACAATTATCTAAACTACCACTGTTGTTATAAAACATTGAATACACTTCCAGGTACTAAAACTTGGAATATGATTCATTCTCATTATAAAATAGGCTTAGCATCCTTGCTTTGATGGGAAGGAACCTTGTTATATGGCTGTGATGAAAGATACTAGATTAATGCATCTAATTATTACAGGAATAATTACTTTTTTTTAAACTACAAACAAATATGTTTCAAATGGGGATAATAATCTTAGGAGTTACTACGAGATTTTACAAAAAGTAACTGTTTCAGTTCAACAGCCAATCAACTAGCCTTCTTACAACTTGCAGAGTATTTCTATATTCAAATAAAGCTGATAAAGACTACAGTCAGTGCATATTTCATCAAATACACTTTAAATAGTAAAATGGGAATTTATTCAAATTAACCCAGTTGTCATATTCTGCCATAAGCTAATAACATTTTAATGCCTCCCCACACTTGAAATAGAAACAAAAACTTTTTAAAACTTAACCTGATTACATTTATCTAAATTATTAAGTGTCTATAATATGTAAACAACAGCCACAAAAAGGAATAACGTACTGCATCATAGCGACTGTGTGGAGCATAACTAACATTAAGCGATCATTCAATACAGTGGCTGTTTTAGAAAGAAATTACTGCAAAGTTTCAACCAATATGAATTTTATCCATCCTTTATATTATTGCTGGCAACCCCAGCTTCAGTGTCAGATTACTTGGCTAAGTGATAAGCATCCAAAAACAACTTTCTATATTTTATTTTTGGGCATATTTAACATACAACTTTTTCAATCTATCACTGATCACTAGAAATATTGTAAACACTGGGTCATTTACCACTTCGTTGGGTTAAATAATCTCTAAAAAGATAAAACATTGTTTAAATTTTTTAAAAACTTGAGAATACTTGTATAATTCAGCACATGACTTAAGATCATGTATATATATATATATATATATAAAACTACATATACAATTAGAAAAATGATAGAACAAAACCATGGCATTGCGAGATCAAGAATTGCTAAACCAATTTATTTTCAGGCACCTGCACATATAAATCCCTTTCCCTTTATTTGGCTCAATATTACACAACAACTATAGTTTGCAAAGTTAAAGACATTCAAAAATCCTTAATATCGAGAAATGACATTTAAACCTATGAAGAGTCACTGCGATCTGCTGATAAAATATATTTGATGCTCAAGCCATATAAAAATATATACAAAATAATACAAATCACAAAACAGTCATACTCACTAGCCTGTTAGGAAAGCCACTGCAAGTACAGCCTTCGTAGAAAACATTCAAAGGATTGTTTTTCTAACCCAAAACTTTCAAATATAAAAATATGTTCAGTTTCTTAGCTACTTAAAAATCACCATTTTCAAACTCGTTTTTATCAAATTTCTTTGTTGCTCTCTCTCTTTCTTTGTTTTGCAGTGGTAAAATTCCAATTTGATTTACACAAAGCTGTCATTGTACACAACTAGCAGTACATGTTTGGGCTAACAAATCCAATAAGTAAGTTCTCTCTATCTGCAACCCAATATTCCAGAGGTGATGTAACATACTAGCTTCATAGCTCCACCAGTGTTATGTCAAATAAATCGTTATCCACTTGCTTAAACTCAATAATGAAAGCATCTTCATTTGAATAGTGTTGAGTGATCTCATCATCCATGTGTACAGTAATACTACAGAAATAAAGCAAACATAATTATCATTTGCATTTGGTAGTAAATAGTTTAATAGTTTTGATGAAATACTTGTATTTATCAAACTCACCATAACCAACTGGTATTTATGACCACAAATAAATTTTACACATAGGTTTAGATAAAAAAAACAGTTTTCTACACTTAAGGTTACCTGTATGGAAATGTAAAATACCCATAGAAAGTTAATTAAATCATAGGTAACAGTAAAACATTGTTATTTGGATTAAGACTAATGATCAATACTGAAAGTGAGTTTAGTAAGGGTATTTAAAAGTGTAACTTGGTTTTTAATACGACAATCTCAGTTTAGATCTAGAAGAAATTACCATAAAAAAAAGGAGGGTTCAAACAATGTATTAGTGCAACTTGAGTATCACGACAGGGTATTTATTTAGTCAAGTTTGTACATAGTTAAATAATGATTTACTTAGTTTTTAGAAATTGTTGTTCACAGTTTGACGATTTTCTTATTAAACATAACTAATCATCAGCTATTTCACAATGTGTTTACTGTTCGGCTTTAAAACAGCTCTGTAGAAAGTTCAGAAACTAAGATTACTCATAAGTAGATTGGTATCTTGTGTGCTGCTAGCACACTAAAAACCATTCAATTTTGAGGGTGGACAGTGTTCTGTTTTACAGTTAGTTAAACAAAACGTTGCAACTTTAGGTCCACAGAACAATAGATCGAATGACATTCAACTCACCCTTTTTTACAACGTTTGTAAAAATGTCTGATGTTCTGCTTCGAAATCTGGTATTTGGACTGCACCTAAAAATGACAGAAAAATTGTGTTATCACAAAACAATGGGCCAGTAATTCATTTATTAAGTTCAATGTATATGACAAGATTAGACTTTTAAGTGGAAGCAAACATTTTTCAATAAATTTCTCAAAGCAAAATTCTCAAATTAATTTTAATACCATATATTTGAAAAAAATGGGGCAATGATTTATGTGGTTTTGATGAGAGCACTACAAGTTAAGACAAAGTATCTTGTAAAAATTTAGTTCCAATACCTCAGATGTCAAGAAATGGTTAAAACACTTCCTAAATCAAGTGCAATGAAAGCCTTAGCTCTCTTAATCATTTTAGGATCATAGTTTCAGCAGTAATAAAACATGATATTTCGGGGTCATAAGTTTTAACTGACTTCTTTATTAAAATATTGCAAGACAATAATTGTGAAAACTTAAGTTTTAACTTGCTTAGTCAAACTTACACAACGTCTGTGATTCTATCCCCAAAAAGATTAAAGAAATTAGCCTAACTATTGAGATATACATATCAAAAGTAGCTGAGTTTCATGCTGTTGTTGATATTCTTCAAGAACAGCTACAGAGTTAAGTGCTAGCACTGATGTCCATTTAACATAGCTAATATTAATTTTGCATGAGATAATTTAAATGTGCAATAGAAATTGTACACAGCTAAAGAATACATTGTCTATGAACTCGACCCTTGATATAAGCAATAAGATAGTAACATTTCATAATTATAAGTATAAAAAATTTAAAACACACTAAGAAAAGATTATGTTTAACTGATTTGTTTCAGTTTCCATATGTAAACATTTGTTTTTAATTTTCTTCTTAGCATCTAATCATCAAAATTTGAAATTGGTTCATATGTTGGCAAAATGAAATACTTCTGTACAAAATAAGCATAATCAGAAAATAGGTGTATTGCACTCCAGGATGTAAATATTATCACATGCAAAGTGATTGTAGCCAAAGAACTTGTGTATTGCATTCTAAGGAGCAAATAGTATCTATTGTCTGTAAAGTGAATATAACCACAAAAACTTTATATAAACTCCAGAAAACCACTTTAGCCTAATGAATATTCCAGAAAACTGCCACATAACCTAATGATATTCATAGAAACTACTATTTAATCTCTAATCTAACAATGTTTAAAAACCTATATAGAATTTAGCCTAATGATGTTCTAGGAAGCCTATATAAGGTCTAGCCTTAGGTATTCCAGAAAACTGCTACATACTTTCTAACCTAAAGGTGTTTAGAAAATGACAATTTAAACTAATGATGTTCCAGAAGTTGTTTTATATAATTATTGCCATGGTGTTTTTGTTTTAATTGAATTTCCTGTGACTTTACGATGTAAAAGAGGCCTAAAAGTAGTCAAAATGTTTCACGAGTTCCTTTCTGCAAGGGTAACTGACCAACACTATGTGTTACAACTTACCGCAGTTGCCAAGCCAGCAAGAGAGGGAGGGACTATGTGAAAGGTGTGGAAAATCTCTTCATCCTCCTGTCTAACGTAAAGAAGAACTGTGTAAAAAAAGAAAACTAAATGAGCGATATGGAAACATTTCGTAGTTTCTCGAGGTACACACAGAAATAATTTTCATAGGTGTAAAGGCACGTTCATTGTATCAAGTAATTGGGTAACATTAGTATCAGTTCGGCATTAATCAGTGGTGTATGTAGACCTATGAAAGTGTATTTTGACCTTCTTGCAGCCAAAAATCTCCTAATGTTAAGTACAGATGGGCTTTGCAATAGTTGCAACATTGTCCCAAAACTGTTAATTTTGAGTATCTAACATGTGGGCCTATATTGCTTGGGTTGAGTATCATCAGACTGGTCCTGGACAAAAGTCTGATCTTTCGTGAGTTGGGTCTGACAAGGCCTTGGGGCAGCTCCCTCATCTATATGCACGCTACTGACAATGAGTCTAAATGAAATACATGTTTGATCAATAAATATGAAAGATGTTAGTGTACACTATATATCGATGCCTTTGACCATTAGATGTTGACTACTGCTTGGAATGAGCCTCTTGATGAAAGATGTAAGCAGAACCATGAGCACAAAAAATGTAAAAAAAAAATTAATGTTGTATAGCGTCAGAAAATTCTGAATAATCTACTTACACAGGGAAACGGCTGATTAAAAAACACAGTCACTGGACACATGTAGATACGTCCAATTATTTTTAAAGTTATTGAAATAATTCCAATAGAAACGTACGTTTGAACAATAACAGTAGATATAGCAGAACAGTCAGAAAATATATAATGAATAAAATAACGTTTTCGTTTACTACAAAACATCAATGTGATGATGATTTCTACAGGAACAACCAATACGAACAATACTAACCCTAACTTAAGGCAACACAACAGAAAAGAATAAAATACCAGAGAAATTAACACAATCAAATTTCGATTTAGCCATACTAACAACTAAGTTGAATTGTATGTGAATTAATCAAATAGCTTGTTAAAGTGTTTATTTATCAAATGTTTTTTTAAACGCCAAAATTGCAAAAAGTTTCCTTGTTAAAAGGTATGTTAGGCTAACTAGATTATTGAATAATATAATAACATAACTGGTCCTTCTCATCTGTCCCATCCTCTAAGCTAAACTAAAACTATTAAAATATATATTAATTTTATAAACCCAACTCTGATCAAATATCAAGTGTGTAAAACTATACCTAAATTTTTGGTCACAAGCTTTGAATATATTTCTTCTTGTATCATTTATGAAACACAACTTTATATATCAATATTTTTAGCTATTAATGGTCGGACATTAAAAATTAAAGATATTGTTTGCAACGTGATATTGCTATATAAAGCAAGAACAAGATTTGTATTTTTACAGAAAATGCCCGTATTAAAGTAATGACAGTTAGAATCGGGTCGACCCGAGAAAGCTCCAAACTACTTTCAACCGAATGTATCAACCTAAGTATTAACATACAAGCCCCCCAGTGGCACAGCGGTATGTCTGCAGACTTACAACGCTAGAAACCGGGTTTCGATACCCGTGGTGGGCAGAGCACAGATAGCCCTTGTGTAGCTTTGTGCATAATTAAAAACAAACAAACAATTAACATCCATTACGTTGTCATGAGTTGTACTTACCTCTGTCTGCAGGGAACAATTTGATTCGTTTGGCTGTTACAAGAGGGCGAGGACCTAGGTCACTGTTGGCACTACTTTCGTCACTTTTATCACGAGATTCACTACGAAAAAACAAAACAAACGCTTTTTAATAGTAATCCTTTAAAAGCTAAAACCAATTACAAGAACAATACTGGGTAAAAATTTCCAAAAAATATTAAACGTTCCTGAACCAAAATAGCATCTCTAAGTTTTGTGCAAAACCCAGAAATATTTTACCATAACAGGGTACTCATTTATTTAAATTTACAAACAAAGTCGCATAATGTGAGTCACAGTTAGTTTTAACTCCTTCATAGACACAATCTATATAATGTAGGAAAAAACGACAAACTGTAGATGTGAATATATTGAAAGACTTCTTTCGAAATGTGAAAATCCCTTTTTAGCGTTTACAGAGCTTGAAGGTTTTGTTTTAATCTTCTGGCTACAACCTGCACGGTACAATTCCGTTATACCCCCCGCAACTGTTGCTGTTAAGCCTAATGTTTAAGAATCAATTATATTGATTATTTTATCACCAGTTTGTAATAAAGTTTATCTTTAATTATACAGAACTTAGAAATAGAACAATATTACAAGTGACAATACCTAGTCTTTGATGTATACGTAATGTTAATAACATAATGTATTTAACGTGATTTATATTATAACCTACCTATAACTATAGGCTTAATACTAATAAATCTAAGTTCAAGTTAACTATAAAAAGACAATAAACTAGTTTTTAGATTGTATTTATTTAATAAAACAATGTATTTAACCTGTTTTACGATTTTCTTTGGTGTGAAGACAAACTAGTGATAACAAAAATTAATATAATTGGTTCTTAAACGTCAGGCTTAACAGTAACAGTTGCGGGAGTATGACGGAAAAGTACAACCACTTCTCACAGTAATGTTTTTTACTTATGACCAACTCTGTAGTTCCTACGAAAAATATAAACATCAATTCAGAAGGCGCAAAAATGTTCTTATTAAAAAAATGGATGGGTATGTGAATTAATTTATTTTTTATACTATATAGTTTTAATTTTTATATGTCCTTATAGTTGCAATGATATATTACAATTATATTTTAAAAAACAACATTGCAACTGATAAGAGCAAAGTAATTTATTTTTCATGATGCTTGAGCATTTAATATGGTTACCCCTACCTAAAAACACAACGAAAATATCAAAAACTTTACCTTTCAATAAGTTGCTCTTCAGTAGTCCCTGGGTGACTTGGTGGTGGAGTTGTGTACAATGATAATTCCATTCCGGACAGCTAGAATAGAAGAAAATAAAGGTTATAAACTGTGGCCTGGTTCCAACGAAGTCAGCTTTTGCACGAATGTAATTAAATAACAAAATATTATTATACATTTGAAAAAGTCTAAATTCATATTTTATATATATACGCGTTTTAGTGATGATGATAATAAACAGTTTAAACGTTTCGGGTTAATGGCACAACTGGGAAATTTAAATCACACTTTATTTACTGACCTCTGGCTTCCGCGGTTTATATGCTGAAGCAAACTGCTTTATTTTAAACAGAAGAAATGTCAACGAACAAAACTAACGTATTTAATCCATTTCCCAGTTCTTCTGGTAGACACTGGTGACAAATGACCTATACTTACTTTTAGAAGGTAGTCTGGAACTAAGCGTTTAAAACCTGAAACTGGACACCAGTTAAAATACAGATACAACGATATGAAAGAACTCGAGGTTTCAAAATGATTACTTGTTGTATACATAATAATTTATAAGATACATTTTTCATTTCGGGGGGTGGGGAGGGAATGACGAGTCCAATGACGATCTGGTTTAGAAAAATAAATACATTTCAAGCACTGCTTCGAAATCAACTCTTTATGGTTCTGTAGCTTAAATAATCAAAGGGCAATTATTAAAACACTCACCATCAGTGTTGTTTTAACATGATAACACATGGTAAACCTGTAATTATTCTGCACGTACAGTGTTGTTTTAATATACCAACACATGGTAAACCTGTAATTATTCTGCAGGTACAGTGTTATTTTAACATACCAACACATGGTAAACCTGTAATTATTCTGCACGTACAGTGTTGTTTTAACATGATAACACATGGTAAACCTGTAATTATTCTGCACGTACAGTGTTGTTTTAACATACCAACACATGGTAAACCTGTAGTTATTCTGCACGTACAGTGTTGTTTTAACATGATAACACATGGTAAACCTGTAATTATTCTGCACGTACAGTGTTGTTTTAACATGATAACACATGGTAAACCTGTAATTATTCTGCACGTCCAGTGTTGTTTTAACATACCAACACATGGTAAA